CCACACACACACACACACACACACACACACACACACACACACACACACACCGCACCCCCACCCAGTCCGACGACTAGGGCAGTTGGTTAGTAACCTGACAACAGCCAGATGCATGTCTCGCTCCGCCCAGTGAGTGGAGCTGGGCGGAGCGAGACATGCATCTGGCTGTTGTCAGGTTAGTTGGTTAGTGGATCAAAGGCATTGCACGGGCCTGCGCACATCTGTTGGTATCTCTCAGATCCATAGCCTAACCAGTATACATATTATAAAAGTGAAGTAATTGAAGGCTATACTGGTTAAGTTTTAGGATTATAGAATTAAAATTAAGAGTATTTTGGTTTAATTCTATCAAGTTGTGATTAGTGATTAAGGTCTGTTGAGTTCTACTGACATTAGGCTGGGTGACTAGCTGTCCTGGTAGGGTGATAAAAAGAGAAATTAAGAGGTTTAGAGGAATTAGAGTCAGGGATTAAGTCAGCTGTCTTTGAGATCGGTAGTCATTTCTGATGGTAAGGTAGTTAAGTTAAGACTTCATCATAAGGGTGAGATATCAAAGTTTAATATCACTTTTGTCACCTTGGGTTATCTTTTAAGTCCCTTGATTTAAGGTTAAGTAAAGGGGAATCATGGTAAGGGATTAAGGAAATGGTCTGGTTAGTTGTTCTAAATAGGGAGCAGGTGTATTGGTTGTGATACACGGCTTAGGGTTGGGGCCTGGACGTCATGTGACTTTCAGGGTAAGTTAAATGGTCTGGTTAGTTGTTAGGGTTAGCAGCTAGGGTTAGCAGCTAGGTTAGGGTTAGTTTAAGGGGGTGAGGATCGGACAAAATGTAATTTAGGGTTAGGTGTTAGGTTTAGGTATGGATTCCACTAATATTAGGGTTAGCAGCTAATTGAACTGGTAAGCTGATAAGAAATATGAAAAATTAGGTTTTGATATGGATTCCATAGGTTAGGGTTAGTAGCTAATTGTCCTGGTAAGTTGATAAGTGCTATAAATGTAGTCTAAGGGTAAGGATAAGGTTAGGTTTTATAGAGGTCAAGGATTAATGGAAGATAATCATATAAATATTAATTGTAGATCAATGGAGGAAGCAGAGTTAGGGTAGACTGCCCTGGAATGGGCTAAGTCTACCTAAGTCTAACTCCGTCACTCCCTGCAGGTGTAAACTAAGGGAAAAGTTTTATAGATCTACACTTTTGAGGACTAATATTTGTATGGAAGATAATCTTATTAATATTAATTTTAGATCAATGGAGGAAGCCGAGTCAGGGTAGATTGACCCCTACCGATCTGGCATTTAAACTCTGCCTCCTTCACTCCCTGCAGGTGTAAACTGAGGGAAGAGGGGTAGGTAGAGGGAAACCGTTCATAAATCTACACTTTTGAGTACTAATAATGGTAATGGTAAGATAAAGTTTTGATAACTTCAGTGTTGATAAATTACTTGATTGAAATGTAAGATTAGGTGTAAGGGATTTTAGAGGAATTAGAGGAGAGTAGTCATGGTATGGTATAAGTCCACTAACTGTGGTTAGATTTGAAGTCCTCTTCAGGTGTTTAACAATTGAGATATTTAATGGTTAGGAATAAATTCCAATGACATTAGGCTGCGTGACTCACTCTGTCACGGTGAGGTGGTCATGTTAAGACTACATCTCAAAAGATATCCAAGTTTAATATTAGGTTTATCAACCTTGTTTTTTTTATAAGATCTATAATGGTGAGGTGTTCATGTTA